TAGGGATGTGAGGTTGTGTGGGACTGTGTGGGGCTGTGTAGGGATGTGTGTGGCTGTGTGGGGATGTGTGTGGGCTGTGTGAGGGATGTATGAGGTTTTGTGGGGATGTGTAGGAATGTGTGAGTGTGCTGTGTGGACTGTGAGTGTGATACTGTGTAGAGCTGTGCAAGAGACTGTGTTGTGTAGGGCTTTGTTATGGAGGTATCTGCCAAGAAGATTATGGGGGTGGCTGGGTCTGAATGCAAAATCTACTTCTTTGCGGGTATGGTCATGTTGATGTATGTTCATTGGTCCGTTTTTTATGGTGACGTAAAACTAGGATGAAGGTCAAGTTAATTTTGACCTTAATAGGGTAGGTTAAGGTACGTCACACGGGGTAAGAGCCAATCAGAAGACTCCCTACCTGTGTCTGCGGATCTTTGAGAAACACCCAACTGTGATGACCTTCCGGGTGGGCAGATCAAGATGTGGTGTGTTGATAGGCCCTGGAGTTCTGGTGGATATAGGGACAATAAGGCCGCCTACCTGCGCATTTCAGTACCGATTACTGTTATAGGATACAGCCTGATAATTTATTTATACTGTCATAGTTTATAAACTAGTAAGTACATATAAAGTATCATATAAGCTGTAATTCATATATAGGACTAAATTTACGGTGAAATTACTGGCAGTTCACTAGAAAAGAAATTACCAGTTAGTTAGAATGTGGCCTCTAGGGTAGGTTAGTTTTTGCCGCGTGACATCATATCGTGGCTTAAGATTTGGCTCGTGTAGGACGGGAAATTTATCCCCGACTGTAACGAGGAATTGTGATTGTACCTTAGTAAAATGTCGATACTATATTTAGATTATTATTTTTTGTATTTATGTTGTATAATTAAGGTTAGTTGTATTGTTACAGCTTTATGAAGAATATTTCACTAATGAATGTTTGTTTCCATATTAGGATCCAGGTTCTGGTAGATTCCAAGCTTAAATTTCACCATGTAATTAGTTTTAAGTTTTGTCATCTAATTGGTGTTAAGTGGGTTCCAAGCTTCAATTTTGTAATCTAAATGGTATTAAGTGGAGTCCAAGCATTTAGTCTGTCATTTATAAATGCTCAGAGGTATTATCTAGGTAAAGTAGAATCACAGACGTATATCATTTGACTTGAGTTTTACAGGTGTGTGTGTCTCAGGTGTGGTATGATCTCACGTAATTAATTTAAATCGGAAAATTTCCACGTTCGACTCACTCCGGTTCCTAGATTATGACGCTACGGTAGATTTCTCATATCTTCCCTAAATCGTCAAGGTCTTAGTTGTTGCAAAACCGAGCGTGATGTTTTAGTGTCGGTCACCTGTTGGTAATCGTGTGGGAGGCCCTGCACTTCCTCTCTCACCCGCTGTGCTTTTGTTTATTCTTTGTGTCATATTGTCAGGAGAATTTCGACATAGGCCCTTAGTCCATCATAATTGTCCCCTAATCCAGAGAAATTAAATACTAATAGGCCTCCAGTCCTCATAGGCCCATCTAATAGACCCCAAGATCTGCATCCCTACTTTCTCTTACCGCCGGGCCCCAGTTCTAAAGGTTAAGTTGGGGGTGTTTTCATTCTATCAACTTATTTGTTTAGACTTATTAACTGATGTAGGGAAAGTAATCAAGTTGTTTTGGTCTATATACTGAAGGTGTGGTGTATTCTGTTGTTTGATCGAGCCCGAATTTGGGGGCTTCACTACTAAACGATCAGCTATTGGCAGGTTTATAGGCCTGCAATACAAAACACATTGTGATTGGTCAAGCTGGAGGTCCTGATAATTACATATCCCTCACTTGTTTTGTTTTTGTTTGCTTTGCTGTTTGTATTTACTGCTACTGTCCCTGCTTCTTTGTTTTCCCCGCAGCCTGAGGGTTTAGGAAGGTCATCTGGGTGTGTTTGTCTGGTGGAGGGACCGGAGGGGGTGGGGTGTTCGGACTACCCCACCACCATCCCGGACACCATGCTTTTGTTTCCCCGATGCTTCAAGGTCTTTACTTGTCACACCTATTCACTTCCCTTCATTCATCTTCCCCGGTGTTTTATTAGTGCTGTTTTATCAACCCTTACCGTCCTCCCGGCTATAAATGGGTACCTGACTTTACAGCAATGTCTCCTACACACACACACACACACAATATTCACATCTCTTACATACACACATTAGTCATTATTATCAGATATATAAGGCATTACAAGCCAGGATCTAACAGGTATGATGTAATCCAGGAAACAGTGGGAGTAGACTGATTGTTGTCACGGTTGAAAGATAAGATAACGTTTGAAGCTGTGCCATTAATGTGTATATACTGTACTGCACTGCACAAACCTCACAACACCTGTCACCCTCGGGTAAAGTCATCAACATTAAGTATTTCCAGTTTGATTCTTGGTTTAATTTAGGATACAGTATTAAATAAATGGGCTAGTCTAGCATCATTCTCAGTGTCATTATTATTGGAATTTCTCATTATATTTCTCCACTGCAGTGTTTGTAATATATTGTACACTGAGTTATTACAGTAGAGGTATACTGAATATATTTCAAGTTTCTTTATAAGCAACGTGTTCTTCATATAAATGTGTGTGCGCGTGTGTACAGTCACTACAGTACAAACAAAGAAACCAGCAAATTACAAATATGAAGGCATTCACAATCTAGTGGCCAAATATGGCTTGTTGACGTTAGAACCAACTCCAACTCTTGTGTTAATATAATTGTCTTGGTGGTGTGTGAGGCAGTGATGATGCATTAACATTGAGCTTGTCATTGTTGTTGCAGATGAAGTAATCAGCACCATGGCACCAGAGATAAACAAGCCCCAGCCCAGGTTGAGACACCCGAAGAAGGAGAGGACGGAAATGTGGCGGTGGCTGCCATCGTGGCGGCTCTAAGTGTGCTCTGTGTCGCTTCAATTGTAAGTCTTTACTGTATTTTAGATAGATAATTGATTGACAGTTTGATGTTTGTTCAGTAAAATGTCATAAAAGTTCAGGTGTACAGTGTTCATGCACAGTATAAATCTATGATGTACTTTGATAGTGGAGATATACAGTGTACAACTGTACATAGTACAGTTATACTATGTTGATGGCAACTCTTCATGTTGCACAGTCTCTTACAGCCTCTCTTGTCAGATTCATTTATAAGATCTTTCTTGTAACCTGTCCCCATGTCATCTTTGGTCTACCCCTGGATCTCCACATGACTGAGTCATCTCAGTCTACCTCTATCTAAAAAATTCCCAATAGTTTCAATACCCAACTGCCCTCTTAGCTCTGAACGGGGCTTCTTGTGTTTCAATGTCACATTACATATACAGTATATCTCTCCGTCTTCATTTCAGCTCGTTCAGCCTTACATACGTCATCCTCTTTAACTGTCCATGTTTCACTACCAAGTACCATCAAACTTTTCATGCCAGTTGTGTCTATCTTTCCTTCCTCACAAGAGAACAATGCTCCTCACACCATCAGTAAAGGCAACAGCTCCTAAACTTCCTCCAGCCACTTGTGACTCTTGCAACTGAGCACCTCTCCCAGCCCTGATCAATTCACTCAGGTAGCAGAACTCATCACCAATGTTGAGTTTCTCCAGCCTTACCAAGACCACATGGTTACCTACACATACAGAACACTTAAACTCAGCAACATCCTGCAGTCCACCATTTACATCACTGTATCTCCTATGTACCCAACTTCCACACTCACTGCACATGATTCAGTTATTGCCAGTGCTACCACAATTCTTACAAGCAGTACTGTACATGGCCATTTCCTACTCTCCACCAAGAGTCCTTCACTCATACCACTAATCATTACTTTTGTTTTCACCACATTCACTCACATAGCCTTTGAATCCACCAAGTCATCAGCATATAACAAATCCCTGGACAGACCAGTTCTAAAATCTTGTGATAGTTCCTCCTCAAATTCCACACCATTTACTCTCACATGAATTTTTGGTCCTTGATACAATGTTATAACACTCGAACAAGACACTCCTCGACCCCCTAACTTTTCCTTTGCCCGCTGGATTAACTTGCATGGTATCCTGTTAAATACTTCTCTGAATCTATGAATACAAAATACTGTACAGCTTTACTTGCTCTCCTGGCTCTTTCTTTTGTATAGTAGTTGCCTGGTCATAAATATCACCTCTCTACTCCCCTTACCTCACTTAAACTTGTAACCTGAAATTTTTGTAAAGTTTTATTAACAACAACGCCTTGACTTGCAGTTGGCATACATGATCTACCGTTACTTCATAAACGGTCCGTGCACAGCATGAACTTCGACAACCCGACAAAGAAGACAACCACAGAGGATGGGTTCCACCTGGCAGGCCAGCAGCGGGCAAACTGCCAGAGGGGTTCAGCCCAGCCACAGTTTCAGCACCGGCAGTATGGAGTTATGTCACCCGAGGATGTAAGTATTGTTGTGCAGCTCTGACATAATGAGTGTAGTCAGAGACTATTGCCTGGGTCTCACAGGCTGTATGCTAGTGAGTGTTTATTAACAACTCTTTTAGGTTTGAATTTAGCCAGAGCTGCATTGGCTAGGTATGTGTAGCAGACACGTTATGTTGATCATATAATTAATTTCTAATAATGCAAATGAGCATTTTTTTAGATTTTTATAGATTGGCGTGTGTATATATATATATATATATATATATATATATATATATATATATTAATGTATTGAAGATCTTTGGTTATTGAGAAGGGTATGACTTAATTGGTACTGTATATACAATAATGATGATTAGTATTATGATTAGCAAGATTTAGTACAGAAAATCTTTCTTGTCCATACATCCATACACCTATGATATAGACTTGTATAAAGAGTTTACAATTATCCATTTTAACCAGCATCATAAAAGACAAAATTACATTCATTTGATAAATCACTAAAGACATCTCGGTTAGTCATCATTATTTATTTATTTTGTAACTTAAATATTCCACCATTTGTTAATATCCTGGGTCCACCACTTGGGTCAGTGAGAGTCATTCATCTGCTATTCAATTTGATTATCTAAGTCATTAAATCATCACCAGACAGAAAACAGTCTTAGAGAAGAATGAGATGATCCAAATATGGGTCTAAACAGTAAACCTTCCTTCTAACTACAGTAATGAGAAGGATGAGAACTAGGAATAAAAACACTTGATACATGTTAAAATGCAGTTTATCTATTAGGAAACTAGATAAAAAGATGTTTACGGTATATTATAAAACACGTGTATAATATGCCAGTCATTATTGTACAGATATTTATTGGTTTGCATTATAATCTGTGAATAACTAACACCACGTTTATGCACCGGCTTTTGGCTTATTGTACAGTAACTTTTACATATCTGGTAAAGATGAATGATATTTGAGAGTTGTTGGTTTGTCCATGACGCTATGATTGTAACACAGTACAGCAATCATAGTAAGGTAGTAACTGTAGCTTAACTTGATGAAACTCTTATGATTTTACTTTAATTACTGTATATGTTGTTGGTGAATGGTATGGTTGAGGGGATAAGCACTAACCCAGCCACCTTCCACCATTGCAGTATGTAAATAGTTGTGAACAGTGAAAAGAAAATCAATAGATCACTTGAAGATTAGAAACCCCAGCTTATTTGAACTCTCGATTAAATGCCCTAACACAAACTCTAACCTAATGCAAGTTGAAGGCTTTAATCATCAGGTGAAATAAGCTTGGATAACTAAGCTTCATATAATTCCCCCTCAAAGAAAAACTTATCAATGGAATAATCAACAAGGCTAAATATCATTCATGAGTCTTTATGATAACTAGGCACTTTTAACACCAATGCACTAACCGCACCTTTTCCCCACCTTGACCACTAGGGCCTTTGTGAGCCAATGGTAAACACGCTCAAATTCTAATGACGGTAAGCCACAGCACAGATACATTGTGGTTCTGCTTCCTTGTGGTTTGCTTCCCATGTATTAGTGCCATGCCGCCTCTAATCTTGCTTGCCTAGATCTGTGTTACAGCTTGGAGATGTGTTTATGTAGATGGGCTGGAAACTTATACAGTATGCATGATCATTCCTTATAACGGAATTCCTACTCGTCTGCCGCGCCTCACCACAGGCCATTGTAGTCTCACGGGTTTTTTGTATTTTCCCGGCGTGTGTGTGTGCAAGTATATCATTGAGTTCATCATTGTGACCGTGACTAAGACAAGTGAGGAGGAAGATAAGAAAGTTTGTCTCTCAATTTTGCAGAAACTAAAAATATTAGAAAAGCTTGAGAATAGTGTCAGTGCTTGCCTGGCTGAGTGAGTGAGTATAAGGTTATTATACTCAGATTTATGATGTCAGAGCTGGGAAAGAAAAGCTTAATGAGTTAAGGCTGAGAGAAGAAAGTGGTGCTTGTGTTGCAGGGAATAATAAAGCCCTGTTAAAGTGCAGTCTGAAGAAAGCTGTGATCCAAACAGTTGATGAGGCTGTGACAACTGGTGCAAACAATAGTGAGCACACAGCTTACCCGAACTACAATCGGCAGGTGTACAGTTTGCAACGCTCCTCACCACAGTTTTATGATGGCAGCTTCTGTTTAATTTTGACATATGCAAACTACAGAATAACGGAGGACTGGAACCAATGCCTATTTAAATTTAATCCCAACAACTAAGTTTCCGAGGACAAACTGGATTTCGTAAACAGATTCGCTTCATTGCCGGTGGTATGACTGTATTCAATTTAGCGGAATCGGTCCGTACACTTTGTTCCGTTATATGGAATGATAACTGTGTATTCTGCTTTCAAAATCGTTAGCTTGATGTATTAAGATGGAAATACCGTGTGTAAGAGCGTTTGTGTTGGAGGCCTGCTAGACTGACCATATCACTCGGGTAGGGAATATATTATCAGTGTATAGTACAGAAGTAAACCTCACAATAGTACAGATCTTAACAATTAAAGTATTATTATTAATGATGCACCATAGTTAACCTCACTTTCTCTCCAGCAAAGTGAGGTTTTAGTTCAAGATTTTCCCACCAGTCTCTTATTAACTCGTATGTGTAACTTTATCTAAGAATGGGTCACAAACATCAGAACTGGTGTAAATCAGAAGCCATGGCTATATTGGCAGTCAAGATATTTTACACTAGGTAATATATAGATCATTTGTAAGTGACTGATGATTGTAACCTATTCTTAGATCTGAAAACACAGAGAAACAGACAAAGACACACATAGAAACACCTCCCCATGTTGATCTAGGGTGACTGAGGCCTCCCAATCCATAACCTGACTCTCAATAGTACAGTACCTAGTGAATCTATATAGGTACTGATGGATGCAGCTAAGGTAAATCAGAGGTATATCTTAGGGCCTTGTTTAGTAATGAGGAACACCTTAGCTTAACACACCTGGTAATGATGAGGGACACCTTAGCTTAACACACCTGGTAATGTGGGGACACCTTAGCTTAACACACTACCTGGTAATGATGAGGACACCTTGAAAACAACACACACCTATAGTAATGATGAGGAACACATAAAAACGACACACACCTGTGGCATGATGAGGGACACCTTAAGCAACACACCTGTAAGTAATGATAAGACACCTTAGCTTAACACACCTGAAAGCAATGATGAGGAACACCTTAACCCAACACACCTAGTAATGATGAAGACACCTTGAAAAGCAACACACCTGGTAATGATGAGGAACACCTTAGCTTAACACACCTGGTAATGATGAGGAACACCTTAGCTTAACACACCTGGTAAAACTATGAATGAAAACAAATGATAATGAGAGAGAGAGAGAGAGTGTGTGTGTGGTGTAAGAGTGTATCTGCAAGTTTATGTGATATGTGAGTTAATGTATGGGTATATGTGTATCAGTGTGAGTTAATGTATGTGTGATCCTCCTGACCCCTCCTGGTTACTTGTGTCATAGTTTAAAGGAAAGTTTAGTCAGGCTGAAGTCAAGACAGTGATGGGGCTACTGGAACTACCTCTAGCTTCTCATCATCTCAGAGTGTTGTCAGGAGTTGGTTGTGGTAAAGAGACACCATAGGAGAATACAGTTGGTTTGTTTATTAGAAAGAATGACAGGTTTTTAGGAGAGAGTCTGTGTTATAGGTTATGAGGGAAAGAGTGTGTTGTAGGTTATGAGAGGAGAGTGTGTTGTAGCTTATGAGGGAAAGAGTGTGTTGTAGGTTATGAGGGAAAGAGTGTGTTGTAGGTTAAGAGGGGGAGAGTGTTGTAGCTTATGAGGGAAAGAGTGTGTTGTAGGTTATGAGGGAAAGAGTGTGTTGTAGGTTAAGAGGGAGAGAGTGTTGTAGCTTATGAGGGAAAGAGTGTGTTGTAGGTTAAGAGGGGGAGAGTGTGTTTTCGCTTACGAGAGGAGATTGCATCACAGTCTAAAAAAAAAATACAGTACTTAAAAATTAAAACAAAACTCGCTCTGCAGTAACGTCACACCACACCCTCGGAGGCTTGTTGAAGAGCTTGTGATGTAATTAATTGGCCATTTAACGTCCATAAATGATTACCCTAAAAACAATATGCTCTCGTGTTTTAATCAGGGTAATCATTTATGGACACCCTGTAGATCTATGACCAGACTAATTGTTAGGTTGTGAAAAACTAAAGAAGTTGTATGAGAGATGTATGTTGGCTTTTGTTCTGGGATTGCATGCAATTGTAGGGTTATGCAATTCCCATTAGTGTTGTGCAGTTAAATCTCCACCTTGCAGACCTGTATTAGTGGTGATAGTCCATTAACTTGAGGTTCTTTATGTGAAACTTTTTTCCAATGGGGTAAATATATTCAATCAAGGTCCACAAGATGAAGGTGTCACTGTTAACTGGAGTAGTTTTTTGGGGTTGCTAATATTTTCACATTGTTAATAATTTTGTACCATTGCAAAATAATCTTAATTCAATTGTGGTAATTATCATAGTTAAAATGTTTTAATTATTGTTGATTATTGATCTGTAATTATTTGTAGATGTATAATTTGGTTTAGAAATAGAATTATTCTTCCATTTACTGCAGTTTGATCAGGGGGCAAAATAATTATTGTCACTTGGTCATAATAATACAGTAAAATATTCTACTAGTTCTCTTCATATTACAAAACTTCATTCAGAAACTTTAATAATGGTGTAGTGATTCTTATTATGCACCAGTGTCATTACCCTGTACTCATTATTGTTCTAACTCCTTCACAATTAAAAGCAGTGACACCGTGAAGCAGTACAGGACATATAAATACATTAACAATCCACAATATGAACTGGGTATAAAATAGAGAATCAATGTTTGTGATTCATTCATTATTATTATTCATTTTACAGCATATTTTGCCCCTTGTTATATGTTTTTTCCCTGTCTCTTTGTATTTACTGTTCTGTGGGTAGCTGTAACTCCTGGTGAGAGCTGTAGCTAAATACTGTATATTCCATCTTGTTGTAAGTAGTGTGAAGTATTTGATTCCTTCTTAACTTTCTTAACCTGATTACAAGGTCGTTCTTTGTCTCTACTGTAGTAACTAAATCATGTCCCCAATGTTGTGTTCATATAATTAGAAAGTGGCAGCGATAATATTCAATTGGGGAAAACAAAATTATATTATTGCTTCCATTATAAATTGCAAGTGTGACATAATTTAATGCTGGTAAAGGTTCATTATTATTTTTAATAAAGAAGCAATGATTGTAAAGTTAACATTTTGAGATATAAGTTTGCGTATTCAATAATTTTTCTTGTCAGTTTGCCTGTTAAAGATAAGTAAGAATATTGCACGACATGTCAATTGCTTCTTTAATATAAAGTTCATTATGTTAATTTCTTTTTCAGTCCCTGGAGCCTCTCACAAATGGCAGCAGCAACTTCGTATGAGGGCAGTGGATGGGTCTCTTCCATGGCTCATTGCCATCTCTGTTAAGGTTCCCAGGAATGGACTTGAAACTTTTCTGCCCTGGCCAACATATAGACTCTTATATATAATATATATATATATTTTAACGATTTGTGATGGGATTGGCAAGTTTTGCCATAGAGATTCATCCTTTGGACTCCTTTTCTTGTCTTGAAATAGCGTAGCGAAGTTACTAAATGGAAAATCTGAACGAGAAAGGCTGTAGTTCCTTTCATAATTTGTGTCAAGTGACCAAATGAAAATATTTAGAATTTGCAGTGATAAGAGAATGTGGAGGACAAGATGAAACCTTGCTCCTCAGGAAGAGACGAACAGTACGGTGACGTAATGGACTCTGGGATCCTGTGGAATGGAGGGATTGAGTGAGATGCCTTGTTTCATGTATTATTACACTCATAACCTTTACCTTATTTGTAGCCAAAGAAGATAACTGCAGACTAGGTAGTAATCTACACACACTCGCTAAGAGGTAGAGGCTCGGAGGTGTTTGCAATCCCACCGGTCCATAGATCTGAGGTCCAGGATGTAAGCGTCAGATGGTACACACACGGGCTGGAGACAGGCAAAGGTCGGTGTGATTGTGTAATTTGTTCCATGCTCACAAGTTCTGTGCAGAAACGTTTCTCCAGAGTTGCCATTTTTACAACTTGATGTTCTGTACATGAATGCCCTCAAGTGTTTTTTGTATATACAGAAAAATATCAAGCTTCCAATGTCCTTTACTTCAGGAAACTAAATATGACAACCAGCAATTTTTAGCCCTTTGCCAATATTTCCATAAACCTATCTTCTTTTATTAAATCACCAGTAAAAGTTTGGAATGGTGTAATTACCTATTTCTTCTTTATATGAATAGGGGAATTTGCCTGTCTAAAAACATACATTGGAAACTTAGTAAAAAAAGAGTTAACAATTAGAATCGGCCAAGGAAATTTTTCTCCGTGAAATAAAGGTGATAAAGTGTATCTGGACATCGCAACAAGACTCACAATCATGTTCAGCGAGAGGGAATGGCGATGGTGAGTCTTGACAGGCGAAGATCGTCCTATGCTTATGAGTACAAAGGCATCTTGATTATTTCCCTTTATAGGATTTCTACCATGTTGATGTTTGTAGAGGGATATCATAATTAGGACTTGGAATCTTTTCTTTGGTATGAATATTAGTCATTGTGCCACTGCGTTCACCATACACAACTCGGTCAAGATAATTGGAATCTCTAGCAGTCAAACTCCAGCTTCTCATAATAGCTCTGTGGGAAAGTTCTCTGCTGGTACTGGAGCGAACTTAGATCTGACACCTGATGCCTGATGTTAAATTGAAAAATAATATCTAGTTTTTTCCTAAAGGATATTTGACTGCATAGAGAAACGTCTGACCCTCTTGTATAGGTTGGTGGAAAATAGATTAAAAAAAACACTTGCTTCTGGAATCTTATTTATTTATTATTTTACCATTGTTGTACTGTTCCCTAGCAGTTGATTGAATTATGAAAGAAATATAATACAAACAGGCTTTATACATTGCTTCTTATAAAGAGTAATATAATTATGTTTTAGACGTGTTTTATTGATCACAAATTTAGCTGTTACAGAGAAACTTATCTCACCAAATTTTAGACAAAATGATATTAGAGTATTTGCTATGTATTTTATTTCTCTGTAATAGTAGTCTAAGTTATTTTATCATGAACAGTTTGCATTTGTTGAATTAATTGCATATTTGATCCATTTTCCACCAACTTGTTGCAATACTTTGACACAGGACCTAAGCAGTATCATTCTCAGTGCCAACTTATACACTTTTTTTCTATGTGCACATATGACGAGGGAGAGAGGGGAGGATATACCACACTTGTTTACTGTGACACGATACACACTTTTGATCCTTGGATAGGTGTAAAGATATGGTTATTTTTCTTCTCTGGTGTATGCAAGAGAAAAAACCTTATTGCAGTGCTTAATGAGGCTTGAAATGCTGATCGTGTCGTAAAAACGTGGATAAAATTGCCCATTCTAGTCCGGTATATGGTTAAGACTTGATTTGGCTAGGTGGTAGAGGTTAGTCTAGAGATTTAGTATATTTCATTTTGTCAGTGTGCTTTTCTACCAGTAATGTCTTTTATGTGTAAAATGTAGGAAAACATGTCTATTAAGGAATGGTTGAATATCCTAAGATAAGTCATTCAGTGTGATTTCATACATCCCCCTGTAAGTTTTAAATCGACATGCTCTTTGTTCATTTGTAGTTCAAAGTATGTAGTTCCATTCATTGGTTGAAGCTCACTAGCCAGGAACATGTAACCTACATCAAGTATTGTTTTGCCTATATGCCATGTTCCATTCATATGTGAAGAACAACTCTAGGCATATATATATACATTATGCCCAAGGAAGCCAAAGTGTCCACTAGGGCCTTTTTGTACCACTTGTCAGCTAATGTGAGCTAAAGTCAGTCAGCAGAGAGGCATTACCATACACTGGTGCCACTGTGTGACAACTATAGCTTTTATTACTAGCTATAGCCATCAATTATTGTAATATTTGAATTGTTGGCCTTTTGAGAAAGATATATGAAGATAACTAAATCATCAGCACAATTACATTCACTATAACAGGCACTAGAGTGGCTCTGCCTCATACTGAAATGAATTATAAACACAAAGTGATGTTGTCATCCAGTTAATACACTCACTGGTCATTGTCGGTCTGATTTATCGACACGTCTAAAATTTTGATATATAATCCCCAGTGTATTGTTCAATGAAGTGTGACCAAAGATTATTGAATTTAAAACAAATTTGTTTATATTAGTAGGCCTATTTTTGGAAAAAAAAAGGTTCAATGAATAAATCTTTCTCCAGGTTATATATATACATATACTGTATTCCCAATGGGAATTTTTCCAAATCCACTGAACTTGTTTTTCATTAATACCAAAAATGGTTTGAGAAACATGACTTCTCTTTTATTGTAGTAAGACTATCAACAGCATGTACAGTACAGTAACAGTATTCAGTCGCCATTTCTGGTATAACTGAAAAATGATGAGTGGTTAAAATATTTCCTTTACAATGATTCATGTTGTTTGCAAATACAGCACATTTATCAGTTGGTATATCAGTAAATAACTTGCGTGGGCAGTCTGTTACACTGTCATTTGACTCTTCAGAGGGACATTAGGTTTAAACTGTGATATACAGTGTAGTTATATTTGTTGCTTGTTTCTCTCGGTGTTTAAGGCTCACGTATCTGACTATAATACGACAGACTTAATTTAATATTGTATTTCTGACAAAATCATCACCATCATCATTTATTACCATTGAGGGAAACAAGACCTTGTCAGAAATCCTTTTTGTCATTTATATGTCTTAATTCATCTCAAAAAATTATATTGTGTCAAAAGTTTTAATTGTGTGTGGGTGACGAATCTTGTGTGTACGTGCGTTTGTCTCTGGCGTGCCCGACCGTGCGTTTAAGTCGGGCGTAAGGAATGCTCGGCCATAACCTCGACGAACTCCCGAGGTTGCCAGGCTGTGGTCGGTTTCGAGAATTGAAGGTTAAAATAAGAAATTATCCCCAATTCAATCCTAAATGTTCACTGATAGACGCCAAGTTCTTGAACGCCGGGTGGAGCTGTTCCTCACCTAAAAAAGTACAGTACAGTATTCTGCTTTTAACCTTCAAGTCATGAATGCTACTAAATATTCACTGTTACCTAATTCTCTTGGATCATTTTTATATACAGTTTACAGATAAATGATATATCACAGTGATGGGTTAAACTCTTTAAGGAAAATCTGTTTTGCATGACACAAAGTACATAGCACACTTAATGATGGGGAGATGCTTACAGTTGACTACACTATCTCTTGGTCTTCTCTTAGAATGATGTTTTATTTGTAATGAAACCAGTTGCAGTATTATAGTCGGTGGATAGCTTATTGTATCCCGTTGCTATTTACTAATAATATGGAAAATAGGGGAAATAGGAAACATTTTAACTAAGACTTATATACAATATGTGTGTGTGTGTGTGTGTGTGTTCATACATCTATGCGAGTGTGCTGTTATGTGGAGATGTGCGTAATTACTATTATTATTTACCGTAATTACGGGCATAACAAAAATTACACGACATTTACAGATTTTTAAGTAGCTTTGAAATCTAACTTTGTTTTATATATACGTATAAAACTGAAGTTCACGGCAAAAGAATTTACAAAAAAAAAAAAAAAAATACGGTTTCATTCAAATAAAATGTGTGCGATGAGCTAACGTGCTGGTCCAGAGATCCGTCCTGTTGACACTTCCGCCTTGCTGCTCTAAGTTTATTTGAGAGTTTATTCTTTTTTCCCACTCGTTAAGAATTTATTTTCTCCCCTCCGAAAAGTTTCCATTACCCATACAATAATGTTTGTTAGGTCTTACTTTGTTATTCATATTCTTTCTGTACCACTACTACTCCACTCTGTGCTATTACCCCACCTCTTACCTTTACCAACCCTCATTATGCTGTGTGCTTGTGTAAAACAACATTCAATCTGATTTTCAGTCACACCAAATTGATTTTGTACACTGACTCAAACACTAGGAATACGTGACAGTATGTAGGATACTTTTTGCACAAAGAGTTTTTGATATTTCTTATAGGTTTGAAAATTATTAAAAAAATAACTTTTTGTAAATGACTCGGGTTTGCACTCTGCTTGGCGGCATAAAAGTAATTTACATAAGGTAAGTTTAACTCCACCTGTGAATATCTCTGTCAGGAATCACATTTTCTTTGATAACACTTCTCTACTTGTACTCCAATTGATGGATTTTCTAAAGGCTGAGTGAAATGAATGTATGAGAATGAAAGATGGTAGAATGACCAAGTAAAAATTAGTCAATTTACTTCAGCAAACATATTTCAGATCCAATAGGCTTGAGCACAGTGTCCACTCTTTGTGCTTGTATTTAGGTTATAACTATGGTATTGTACATTAGAGTATTGTAACTATCAGTTTCATAATAAAATACTTCCAAGCATTTGCCTTTTTTTTTTCTTAATGACCCTCAGTTGTTTCTTGTTTCAGAGAAGCTTAAATTAAAGAGGCAATTTCTAACCCGGCATTCCTCATCGAGCAACTCTCGTAATAGCGTCGATATATTGGACGTTCATCCCACAAGGGTCACAACTCAAGGTTGAAGAAGCCACAAGTCCAGAAAACTATGAAGGCAAACTTTTTCTGAGTGAGAATTGAAAACTCTTGGAACAATCTGCCAGAGTGTGTCGTGACGGCACCGAGTGTGAGCTCTTTCAAGAGCAGACTTGACCAACACTGGAGCAGGTTCAGGTATATTCAGGAGCCAGTGCATGCCCAGTACTTGCCAATAGTGCATAACAGAGACGTGACCGAATGCCCAACCGGCTAACGAGCCGATCAACGGCGAAGAGGATAAAAGTAAAAAAGTAAAGGTGCTGGAGAACATAAGGCAAAAAATAGAGGGAGGCAGTTGTTTGGAAATTGGGTCAACTTGTCTCATGTGCCTCATGCTTAGCTGACTGGCTATACCATCATAAGGGTGTCTTGTGTATTAAAAAACATTCTTCTGGTAGGTAGCATCTTTATATACAGCTCCTTCCCGACTTACTACCTGCCTCGGTCGTACCAAAATTTTGTCAATTTACTTATTTTCGAGTCCCAACGTCAGTGCACAGAAAATTTTCATTTGTAATTCACTTTAAAATGGCTGGAAAGCTTAAAAGTGAGAGTTTTGCAGTGCTGAGAAGAAGAAGAGACACCCATTTTAGATATTCTATGTATTATTTAAGCATTTTCGACTTACGACCATTTCGACTTACGACCTAGATTTGGGTCCCTAACCCAGTCGTAAGACGGGGAGGAGCTGTATCGGTTACTATACCGTAAAAATGTAACCCGTGTAACTAATGCATTTTTACTTTACTAATTTTATATTTAAAATTAATACTTAACCATGAAGTTGAACCAGATTTAATAAGGTTTTCTTTATTGTGTTATCCACTAGTGTATGGGATCCCCTCTGAGTTGAATAAAATCATCTGGCATAAGTCAAAATTTTATAAGTGGCATCCACGTACTGAAGGAGGTGAAGTGAGAGATATTAATATTTTAACATTTAATGATCAAGAATTGCAACTTTTTATGGGACAGTAAAGAAATAGAACTTGTGATGATATTTTCAGGTCAGGTATACAGTAAGCTTAAGTGACAGTAGGACCAAGTTCATCCTCAGGAGATAGTTGATATAGGTAGTGGTGGACCTAGGACTCATGTGCTGAGGTCACATGCCAGTATTATCCTTCAACATAACCCTGCAGAAAGAAAAATGAATGAGTAAGTATTAAGGAGGGAGTTTTGGTGGTGCTACTGTAGTGTGTAGTATATTTATGCTATAAACTGCAGTCTACAATTTGTCCATTTATTGAGCACAGTTAGAGTGAGATTCCTTGGCTGGTTAAGATTTTTGAATCGAGTACAAAATGCAGAATTTACCTCAAGGTGGGTGATGGTGGCAGTGATAACCTACTCGGTCCCTCGAATTCTGCACTTTTCGTCGAACCAAAAATCTAAACCAGCCATGTAATCTCGTTCTAATTCCACTCATTATATGCGGCATATGCGAAAAGGCTCTCTTAGCCGGGTTTCTTTGTTTATAAGGAATTTCAGAGTGATTAATTTGAACCTGGTGCCAAGAATGGTAAGTGACGTTTTGTGGCGGTGAATGCTACCGTGATTAACACAGTTTGAAGAAATATCGAAGTGATGAGAACAATAAAAAAAATTCTTATTATTATCATTATGAGAAGAGCTCATGTATATTTTACCATTTTGAAGAGAAAATCTGTTTATTTATGATGAAAGTTTGTGATTTAACAGTGTGGATTAGGCCTACTGGGGATACCACAATAAAAAAAAAAAGCAGTTTGGTTTACCTCTCAGGTGCTATGGAAAAAAAATCACAAAATGAGTGTCTTTCATTTTACCATATGACTCTCACTCTCACACCAGACAACAGGAGGCTACATCACCAGACAACACCAAAAAAGTGACTGAAAAAATCCACTAGATGCTGATATTGTTATTGGTAAAAAATTAAACAAACCTAATCCCCCGGTACTGTAGCCAGACCATACTTGTTTGGTTGTCCATGGTGTCTGATGAGGACGTCTTCTGGTTTATTGGGGAGTCCTACGATGGCTGTAGAGTCCAAATCTCGACACAATTGAAATCTCCCAGAAGAGAACCTGTACAAAAGTGGATACTGTATTAGAGTGGCATTGGGGTTTGTGCTCAAACTAACACCACTATCTTGACTGTAAGGAGGGAGGGGTGTGGGGGTGGGTGGGTGAGAACCAATGATCAGTTTAAAAAAAAACTGCTTTGCTCAAGGCTTGAGATTCCACTTGTCAGGTGAGAAGATTCAGATGGATGAAAGTGTCAGAGTTCACACACTGCTTGACAAAGCTACCGAGTAAATGTATTGTGGTAGATGGCCGAGAGGCGTCTTATACTGCCAGACTGGGGAGTCACTAATGCTAAGGGGGAATACTTAACTAATCTTTATTTCTAAGGGTCGCTGCCACCAGACCCCCTCTGGACAGCATGTAGCTCGTTAGGTAGAGTGGACTAGGCATTGGGTTAGGTTTTTCATTGACCAGATCGATAAGGGGAAAGAAGGGTGAAACCATAACATGTCTTAATTTATTCCTTATAAAGCATATTGGTAAAAAACATACAAATGAATTGGTCTTCCTCAGAACAACGAAAATGTTGGTTACCCAGATGGGCACCAGACGTCTTACATTAATGGCGTGTCATCCACATACTTTTTGCATAACAATGTGACCACCTTACCTCGGTCATTCCTTCTTACACTACCCATCAACACATCAGACTGCTCCACCTGTATGGAATATAGCACCGTCGGTTATCATACATAGTAGCACCCTCTCAACACACCCGTTACCCTCCACACCTGCAGGTATAGGACTCATTGTAATTTCTAGGTATACCTAACAGGCACCTCGTTCGCACACCGCCCTCGGTGGGTAGAGACGAGGGCTACACCAAGAGACATAACAGTACTATTTCTACGCCTGGTATTATAGGTCGCTCCAAGTGACAACCGCGGAGTTTCTCAAGCGTTTCCGCATTTGTTCTACTCATATGCGTGGTGTGCTGGGGATCCACAGTGCATGACCACTGGTGTGGCCTGCGGTCATGGCTGACGCCCGGTAGGCGCTCAGAAAAGTCTTGTGTTGGGAGAAGTCGAGGCATCACTGAGAATACTGCCGGGGGGGGGGTTCGTCACCACACATTAGTACACTATGACTTCACTTTAAGATCAGGCAAGGTTTTAAGATGTAAAAACTGTTAGACAATTCCCTTTTTAGGATTGAATAAAGCATGATAAAGGACTCTGACCTGTGTTGGGATAAGTCGAGGCATCACTGAGGGTGAAGTCCCGACTCCCACCCTCCTCTCTGTTTAGGTCTAGTTAACAATCTTCACTTTGGATTCCTATGGTTCCCACATCTCCATTTTCCTATCTATTGTGACCATGCTTTATAAATACATACTTAATCCTAAATTACACACTAGGTAAGGGTCTGGTTTGCTAGTTCCTGGGTAAATTCATTGGGTTATAATATTAACGCGGTACACCCGAGGCAGCAACCCAAACAAAGCCTAGCATCGTATTTTCATGGCGTGGGTATGCAAGATATTCTTTTTGAAGCATAGTTTCTAGATCACTTCCAACACTTCAGTTCTGATACATTTATCCAGATCATTGTTCTCGTATGATAACTGTGGAAGTTAAGTTCGCTACACGTTCACAGACGTAAATAGTATGACCTTCAAACCATGATCTACACTTAGTCCTACACTACACTAACCCGACTCAACTGGACTTCCCCAATCATCTTATGAATACCCTGAATTTTCTTTAATGCTATGAAAACATACAATTAATTTTATATAACTTTACCTGGGTATAATACAACACATGGTTTATTAACATTGAGTAGACGAGTTACCATTTAACAATGTTTCCTGTTTGAGATTCTACAAGCGCGGTGGATTAGGTTATATAGCGCAATATTAATTAATTAGGGAGTTTAAAGTATTAGAATGATGAGCGCAGTACAGTCTGAAAGTTGAGTAGTTCCTACGATCTTAAGGAAACCTAAATTATTCTGGTAAATTGTATACAAAATACTTCAGGGAAATATCAATTCAAAGATCAAGTAGGTTTAAAACGCCCCAGAAGACGGTTATTAAAAACAACTGGGTTAAGGTCATAATCAAGTTCAATGTAGAACAACGTATATCATACATATAGTTAAATACAGCAGTTTGCGCTTTGCCAAGTCTCCACCACTCAAGCCGGGATCTTCCTCAGCTGCTCACATAAGAAATGGAGGTAGATCGCTGTGACCTGGGTTCAGCTGGATTTGACCACTTTCACCGAGAACTAGACTCAATTCATCCCACCTCCATAACATTGCCAGTAGTTACTCCACGCAAGTCTCGTATATCTGGAACAAACAAGTAATTAGAGATTAAATATAGAAGTGTACTTAAAATCCTACACAATAACAGGAAAATAGTTTACCAATTACATTAATATATATCCAAATTACATCAAATATAAATAATTCTAAAATAAAACTTATTTTTAACCAACACGAAAAATATACTTAAGAAATACAAAAACATCAGCTAAAGACTTACGTAATGTATACTCTTGTGTCCTGTAGCACTGCTTCCTTTGAGGTTATGATCAGTACTGACTTCCCGTGGCAGCTTTCGGAGTATTTAAGGACGGCAGTGGTGGGGGGGTGGGTGGGGGGGGGGAGACTTGATTTAGGCGGGAAAATCTTAACTAGGCTAACCACCTCATCACAAGTGTTAAAGACATTTCATTTTTCGATAATTGTTCTATAAAACTTCACTATGTCTTGACTATTTATTGCCTTTCTATTGCTAATTTAATATTTT